GGAAGTGCAGCTATATAATAAAACTAGGAGACCTTGCCCCCTGACCGCTACGCGGCCCAACCCCCGGGAGGGCGCCTCGCGCCCTCAGACCCGCTTCGCGGGCCCTATACACATATGTATAGGCAAAGATGCTCTTCCATTTTAATACACCATTTTGTGTTCGAGCTGCATCGATTTCAAAATTTCTGACGTAACACTCAGATTTGTAAATGATGAGGAATAGCTGGATGTACATAATTTCACAGTCCACTTACTGGAGAAATTTACATTTATTATGTTACTTTTAAATACTTAATTTAAAAAAAAAAAAATCGGATTTCGACCGTTAAGAGTTAATAATATTTGGTCCGTCCCGTCCCGACGCGACGCAGCGCCTGCCTTCTCACTTTGTATCTGCTGTTTATCTGCCGTAAATATTAATAGAAATTCAGCAATCAAGTAAATTGACCAATGCCACAAATCGAAGCCGGAAGAATGAGGAAAAATTGAGTAAAAACCTTATACCTTGTACCTTGAACCTTGAACCCTGAGCGATGCACCGTTCCTCAACTCTTCGAGTGAGGAGCCCTTCACGAACTTTTCCATTGTTTTATTGTTTATTCGAGTCACTCAGGTAGAATCCCACACCTTGACGTTTCTAGCGGAAACGACATATCTCTCACGCTATTAACATTGGACTTAAGTGACATGAGCTTTAAAAGCTCTACAACATGAAAAGTTCGGGGTTTCATAATTTTTTGCACATCTACATCTACTACAGGTGACATACATGTAAAGATCATCCTTATCGGTCCGGCAGTTCGTCAGAAATAGTGCTTCCAAGATTTTGCTTGTAGCTGTATAATATAGATATTAAAACGTCACGCGTGTGATTATGTAAACTGAGTAAAATATAAAGGTAATCGATGATTGAACATTTTTTATGAATAAATTGTGACTGTCCACGGAAAAAGATGCCTTATCTGGTTACCCAGATCTACCCAGATACCCCCAAACACCGAGTTTCAGGCGAATCCATCGGCAAAAAGTCGAGTTTGCCAATTGTTGACCATTTTGAACTTTAATCGGCGGTCATTTTGAAAAATAAGGGTTTTTTTAAAAATCTAACGTCGAATTCGTTCTTCTCGGGTCAAAATACTCCCAGAGACCAAATTTCAGGTGAATCCATTGGCAAAAAATCGAGTTTGTCAAATTTTCGGCCACTCTGAGCCTAAACCGGCGGCCATTTTGAAAAATTAGGGTTTTTTTTAAGTATCTAACGTCAAATTCGTTTTTCTCGTGCCAAAATACCTGCAGACACCGAGTTTCAAGCAAGTCCATGCGCAAATAGCAGAGGTGCCAATTTTCGGTCATTTTGAACTTTGACCGGCCGCCATTTTGAAACGGTTTGAGATAATGACTTCGGGATTATGCGAAAAATTTTATTTTTTTATGCTCTTTCGAACGAGGTATCACAAAGAGGGTCTTCCCATTTGAAAAAAAAAAGTTAGGGTCCGTAACCCCCCCAAGGGGGGACCCCTTAAAAATTTTGGGGAGGTCAAAAAGTAGCTCCCTTTGATATAGGAACACCCTCCAAGTTTCAAATCTCTACCTCAATTAGGTCAAAAGTTAGAGGGGGGAAGGGGACTTTTCGAACACCCTGTATAAAGCTACTATACCGAGATTTCTTCAACACTTTGGCGAGAATGAAGCTAAGAAACACCTTTTGCATGCCGGGAAAATCAAATTTAGAAAAAAATGCTGCTGAAGCCCAAAAAAGAAAAGTTGTTTCTCCCTATACTAATGCATTGGGGATACGAGGTTGTTCACGCGCATCGCACCGAACAGGTTCAATCCTATCGCGTGACGTCACAGTATTATAGACGAAATTTTAGATTTTAGGGGGTATTTATTGACGGGTTTTTGTGAAAATTGGTGTCAGGCGGTACTTTTCGACGGGATACTCAATTTTTTGGTTAGATTTTCAAAATCCAAGATCACTCGTAGAGCTGAGTCATGTGTAGGCTGCCCCCCTCTGGGGTCGCATAAGATCGGGTGCTTCGTGGGCTGAGCGAGACGTAGCTGGTCTGCCCTCACTCCCCTCTAGTCCTCGACTCCAGAGCCCTGCCGAGGGGTTGCCGCAAGGTTTGGCGGGTCCTGACTCCGGGTACAATGATGGCTTTGGCAGATTGGTCCCAAGGGATGAGGGTGTAACGGGGCTATATTTCCCCCGTTTTAAGTTTAATAAGCTCACGTGGAGTAATAAATTGAAACAATAAGAAAGTTTCGAACGCGCATGCTTGGCACCGCCGCGTCTGCACCAGCGAGCCAAGGAATAATAAATCAGCTGACGCTCGGCGTCCGTCGCAATTTTTTGTTCAATAAAATCGCGATCAATTTTCGACGATAAAATCGAGATTAAATCGCCATATACCGCGATTTTTGTTGCAATAATATCGCGATAAATTGCCGGGCGATAAAATCGCGATTTTATTGCGACAAGATCGAGGATAATCACTCAAATGCTGATGATCTTAGCGATTTTATCGCCGACAAAATCTCAACAAATCGCGATTTATCCCTTGAAAATGCTACTTGGGAAGAGCCAAAATCGGCCGCCATCTTGGATTTTGGGCATTTCCGTGGGTCGATGGGTCTGTATGACAATTTTTTTGGAATCTACGATCCAAAAAACATGAGAATCGACACCTCTCTTGACGTTTTGTGCCGTTTTACCAAAATTTCAATTTCAGCCTCCACTTTGGCCGCCATCTTGTTTTTGGGGCCTTGGCATCAAAATCGGAGAGTCCACCAAAGATTTTCTCATCCTAGGGACCAAAATGAAGAGAGTAAACTTGCATCACAAACGTGCAAACGGGACGTAATTTTCGAACACATGCTTCCCTGACTATGCAACAAATCGCCTTTTCCCGTCATTTTTGAGCATTCCCGGCCGGTTTTCATTTCCGTTTGGATCCGTGCCCCATCGATGCGCGTTAGTAAGGGTTCATTACTCGAAAATATACACCTTAAGGTTGAAATGGAGAGAGAAAATTGGAATTTGCAGTTACAATCCATGGAATGCATCGGTTACGGTGTGAAAAATCGTCTTTTTGCGTCAATTTCGAGGATTTTCGGTCGGTTCCCAGTTTCCATCAGGCCGTTAATCGATCGGTGCATGTATGGAACGCGTTGATAGTCCGTTTTTATACATGTCAGAGGGTAAAGTGGGGAAAAATATCGATAATTGAAGAGTTCATTATCTAAATTTTTGGATTAACGTGTGAAAAATCGTCCTTTTTACCAATTTTTGGCCTTTTTTGGCCTATTTGAATTTTTTTAGGCCCTTAACCGTCCGATAGCAATTGAAAAAAGTATATTAACCAAAAGTATATATCCTAAGCTTGAAGTATAAAAAAAAATCGAAAATCGGAGAGACTGTTTCTTAGATAATGCAGTTTGAGCATTGAGTGGCGAAAAAATCATAAATTTTAAAAAACTCTAAATTACGGCCATTTAAATAATTTTTAGCTCAATTTTGATGGCATATTCAGAATCTACATGAAAAATTGGTCTAGAAACACTCTTTCAAAGTATGATCGATTGATACAGAGTCTCGCTACAGAGAGTCAAAGAGAGGGAAGTCGAGAAAATGAGAATCGCTAAAACGGGCTGTTTTGAATATCGCTAAAATTCACCCCATCTTTGAGGGTCGATATCTCGCGAACGGGGCGTCGGATCGGAAAACCCTTCAAATTAGTTTCTTAGAATGATGTAAAGACCCCGTATACCAATTTTCAGCCAAATCGGAGGGGGTCGGGTTCCGAGCTTGGTTGCGTTGACGTGGAATGACCCATAATTCTAACTGTATAGATTGATAAAAGAAGTCAAGGCAAAGCCAACGATGTAAGTTTTATATTTTTCATGAAATCTTGTATGCTTACAAAAATGAACGGAGCTCGGGCACTTGCTTTTTTTTGAAATTTTTAAATTAATAGCCTCCCGACCAGAACCATCGATCGGGGGGGAACGTTCCGATCCAGCAGACAGTTACGCTACGAAACGAGTACGTCGGTCGAGGTGCAGCGGGGTGCGCTTGCGTTTCCCTCTTTACTATACGTTTTTTAGCAGGAGTTTGCGGTTGGAGAATTTCGGCGGTGGGGGCACTGCGAATCCTATCGAAAAAATTCTCTAACTTTGGACCTCTACGGCTTCGGACAAATAGGTCAAGGTGCCCGGGCTGAGATGCATCTCCCTCTTGAACGTGGCAATAGAGGAGAGGGCTTTCCCTCGAGGAGACTACGGATAGAGGTGCCTGGGCTGAGGCGCATTTCACTGTGGGTTCTGATAAGGCAAGCGCAGACCCTATAGCAGTTGGAAGCGATTTATTTTATTGAGACGACTATTTACCATGTGGTTTTTGAGTAGATTCCCTTGAGTTCCAGTCAGGAAGTTTTAGAAAATAAATGAGAACTACTTTACGAGTGGAAAAATGTTGCCAAATCTCATCCTAATTCTATCGTTTAATAAATCCTTGTACCTAAATTTTGGAAGAACGCTTCCGAATTCTTCAGAAGTAGAGCGAAGTAGTGGTGCCCGGTCTGAGCAGCATCAAACCGAGCTCTGCTCAATTTTCCTTTCCCTTTGATTCTATAAAATTTCTCTCTCTCAATTTCGATTTCACTCCCGTATATTCTTTTTTCTATGGCGCCCGAATCCAGGCTTCCCACTTGTTAAGGTTGGCGATTGGCCGGGTTGGGAGAGCAGAGAGAACCCAATTTGATTCGATGACACAAACTTGTATTCCATACTTCACAGAGCACACAGACCGAATAATCCGACGAAACGCACTCCATTCCTCACCAACTCGTTGCTCCCCCCTCCAGTGATCAGCCGAGCAATCCACTCCTCTGATTGGCCAGGGGAACTTCTCAAGTGATGCTCCAAAGCAAACTCGAAATTTCCCCGGTCAACAGAGCAGCCGTGCCAACTGAACAAAGGAGAGGCAAGCAACGTCAGAGAGTCGCTATACTTGACATCCCCCCTTGTTGGGAGAGGAGGACCTCCGACGACTAAGATGGATGAGAGGTTAAGTTTTTCTCTTGAAGCGCAAAATTTTGTTAAAGTTAAGCATGCTTTAGTGAGCAAGTGAAACGTAATAAAGGATGGTTTTAGAATGAGAGTGTTTTTCTGTCTTTGACAATAAACAATTATGATAAGATACAAGTTAACAATCAGTGTTTCTAGGGGACGATTCTACAAAATAAGGTAAGATTGATTGACAACGGATTGCAAGATAATTTAGCGTTAAGAGGAAGATAATCATCTAGATTAAGAGTTGTTTGTGAAGAAGATGTGATCAGGTTGAGATAAGCAGGACTCTTAGCGTGATGTTGAGGTAATCAGTGATAAGCCCATATTAACAGCTTGGATTGAGGTGCTGGAGTAGTTTGAGCTGATAAAAGGAGTCTGCGGTCTTTCCAGAGTGTAGAATCGTTCCTAGAAACTGGATCAGCAAGAGTGTGTACAAATAACAGTTTCTGAAACAAGAATTAAAAAGCGATAATATCACAGCTTAAAAGGTTAATGAGCTTTTTAATTAATCTTAGTTTAAAGAGCCTTGTCGCAGCTAAAATTTCTTTGGTGCTATAAGTAAAATGTAGAGAGTATTACAATATAAAAATTAAATAGAATATTTGCGTTGGCGAGAGATATTGTGACATGGAAGTACTGAAGTAACATATTGGGCTTTAGGGGGCACAGGCTTTAATCGGGAGACATGTAAAATTTCATTTGATAACTTTCCCCTCATTGGGATAGCAACTTCATAATTGAGGTCAGAGACTTTCTTGACGACCATATAAGGGCCTTGATAGAGGGGTGATAATTTGGAACTGGGTCTTGAGAGAGTTACATAAACCTGGGAACCTGGTGTTAAATTTAAAGGTATATGAGATTTGTCATAGTGTCGTTTGTATTTGTCCTGGGCTTTTTTTATGATTTCAGGCATTTCATGTCTGATTTTTAGTAATTGTTCGATCGATTCCAACAAATCAACGGGAGGGTTGGGGGGTTCTAGGGATGCGGTGAGAGAAGTATCTGGCTCATACCCATGGACCAGGTAGAATGGGGAATAGCCCGTTGAAGCTTGTGCATTAGAATTGTACGCAAAAGTAACAAAAGGTAAAATGGTTGACCAATTTTTGTTAGATTCACTTATGTAATGCTTCAAAATTGTTACGATAGTTTGATTAAGCCGCTCCACTAAGCCTTGTGATTGAGGTCTGTAAGCAGTGCTGTGCTGCTTTTGGAATTTTAACTGGTGAGACAATTCTGTGATAAGCTCATTATCAAAATGTGAGCCTCTGTCGGTTGAAAATTTACTAAAGAAACCTTTTTGAGAAATAACATCGCTTATAAGAAATTTGGCAACTGTGTTAGCGTCAGCATTATGGGTTGCTTTTGTAATCGCATATTTGGTGAGGGTACAAATGGCAATTAAAATATATTTGTGACCGTACGAACTTGGTAATGGACCGAGGAAGTCACAAATTATGTGAGAAAAAGGTTTTCCAGTTAATGGCGGTGGGATGGGCTGCAGCAAACCGTATTTAACTTTTGCTGGCTTATTTAAGTTACAAGAATGACAACGAGAGATGTGGGTGGCTAAATCTTGCCGCATTGTTGGCCAGTAGAAATGCCTCTTTAGCCTATCGTAGCATTTTTTGAAGGAAAAGTGGGCTGATCCCGCAACTAGGTCATCATGGATATGGTGCAAAACAGAATTAATCAAGGATTTGGGCACATACAAAGCGTAAGACTCTTGATTTTTACACCACAAATTTAGGTAAATTAAATCATTTCTGAGTGAAAAGCGACGGCTTCGGCGTAAAACATTGCGATCCGAAATTGTTTTTGGAGAGATAATAGCCTTTCGTATGATCTCAATTTGTGGGTCCTTTAATTGTTCTGAATTAAAATTAGTGGATATTAAAGCTAAATCATTGTTTGAAATTGGCATGTTTTTGTCTAAAGTGGCTATAATTGCGGTTACTGGGAATCTAGATAAATGGTCAACTGCCTTTATGGCTGGTGAAGAAGCTTTCTTGTAAATTACATCAAAATCATAGTCGACAAGTTTTGATACCAATTTATTTAATCTAGATGACTTTTCTTTAAATGTTGTAAAATACTCCAAACTATTATGGTCAGAAAAAACTGTAAATTTGCGGCCATATAGGTAATCACGAAAATGAGGCACTGCCAAAGCTAGGCCCTGGAGTTCAAGTTCAGTCGAACCCCAAGACGGTTGTGATTGAAGTTTTTTGCTGAAATAACCAATAGGATGTAGTTTTTTTGTTTCTGGGTTACGCTGGGCAAGGATAGAGCCAGTAGCCAATTTCGAAGTATCTACAATTACCACGGTTTCATGATCTTCATTGAAGTTTTGCAACACTGGTTTTTGCGTGAAAAGAGAAATCAAAGTCTTGAACGCTGATTTTGCTGCAGGTGTTAAAGTAAACTGTTTGTCGGAAGAGATTTTGAGGAGATCATACAATGGGGAGCAAATCTTGGCAAAATTGTGGATAAATTTACGATAGAAAGAACAGGATCCCAAAAATGAACGTAATTCTTTCAAAGATTTCGGCGGTTTTGCATTTAGTATTGGGATTAAATTTTTGGTTGATGGAGCGATACACTTGTGACTAATCAAATATCCTAGGATGTCTATCGATTCGCAACATACTTGGGATTTCGAAGTTTTTAGGCGTAAGAAATGTTTTTTTAGCCTTTCGAATACGATATTTAACAGCTTAACGTGGGTTTCATAGTCTTTGCTGTAGACGATCAGATCATCAATGAAGATTATGACACCGTGATACAACAGGTCGGCAAACACTTTGTTCAGAGCCCTACTAAATGATGATGATCCATTTTTAATGCCCATAGGTTGTCGGTTAAACTCGAACAAACCTCTACTAGTTGTGAAGGCAGAACATTTCCTAGATTTTTCAGATAACTCTTGTTGGAAAAATCCGCTCAAAAAATCAAATTTGCTGAAATATTTGTACTGACGAAGCTCAGTGATCAGGGATTCTATTCTTGGTAATGGGTACCTGTCTGGAATGACCTTGGCATTTAAGCGACGATAGTCGACAACAAATCTTTTGTCAGATAGCGATAAATTGGTAGATTTTTTTGGAACTCCAGGTTTGGTAACTAAAAAGGCTGGGGACGCATAAGGCGAAGTGCTATCACGAACAATACCAGCTTGTTTTAACTGACCAATGAATTCATGCAATTGTTCATCCTCCATAGGTGACATGTGAAAAGGAGGAGAATGTACAGGAATGTTATCTGTTAAATTTATTTCAGCAGGCATCAAGCGTGCTTTATGTATTTCAATTTGTGAGGATGCAAAGACTTCAATGTTGTTTTGTATGATTTCCTTGACCTGGTTAAAAACAAGTGGCGGTATTGATCTATTGATGAAAATTTGTGTTCCCGATTTGTCAACAGGGAGCAAATTTTCTGGAATACTATTACTAGAATTTGTATTGGAAGTAATATTTGTTATAACATTCTTGTGAGTTTCATTTTCATTTTCAGCGTTTTGGAATTGTAGAGTGAAATAATTACCCATGACAGAATTAATCTGCAGCTCTTGGGCTGGGAGGACACGGTTAATGCATGTAGGCGTATCCACAAATCTACTTGCACATATATTTCGACATGTATTAACTGTGATAATTTTGCTTCTCAAACCTGCCATTTTAATGGAATTGGTTGATTGGCAAGGAGGTGCACTACCTGTACTAGCAGGAACAGTGCCAGTAATAGATTTACTGTGTGGAAAAGCTGGACTAGCAGTATTTTTCCTATTCTGTGATTTGGAGTGCTTTGTAGAAACATCATTTATATTATTGCAAGGAAGAAGGTCAGCATCTACTTTTCTAATTAGATTTAAGAATGCCTTCTTTTCAAAGTTGTTCGTTCTTTGAAAATACTCCAAGTTTTTCTTGAAGCAAATGGTACCAATGGGTGTATCCGGATATAAAATGATTTCTTGATGAGAGAGGTTTTTAACTGGTAAAGACAATTGAGTTAAACAACATCTATTAATATATAAATTTTTTGACTCCAACCATTTGAAATTTGGTTCAAAAAAGAAATTTGTTTGAAACGCTGGAAACTCACAATGAATGTTCACGTCAGTAACTGATAATGGTGCTAGACAAGTGGTATTTTTAGTTACTACTTGTAAACTTAAAGGGTATTCTAACGAAGACAAACTATTTTCTAGCTTATGTACAAAAGGGGCGGAAAAGGTTGTTCCTTGGTGAGTGAGTTGAATGCAGTTTGATTTATAATCTATGATGGCTTGGTGTGTTTTCAAAAAGGAGTCGCCCAAAATTAAAGGAGACGATAAGGATTTGGTAACATACACATAGGTTTTCAGTTCCCTACCGGCAATGTTGAGCAATAAGAAGCCTCGTTTTACAATGGGTAACGATTCATTGTTGGCTGTTTTCAAGTCGACTTTCTTTCCTTTTGCGGAAAGGACAAAATTTGCAAAAGCGATAGAACAAACGGATACACTAGCGCCGCTATCAATAAGCGCTGTGGTGCTATGATTTTGAACTTTCACATCAATAAAAGTAGACAAGCCTAAGCTTAATGTACACATAGAGGTTTCTTTGGCGACTTTAGTCTTTGTTTGCGGAGCCATGCGTTTAAAATGGGTGTCCTTTCGAGCTATTTTAGGACTGTCCTTTTTCACACGAGACAAAGGAGGAAAATGATCTGCATAAACACTAGAGGAACAGGGGTTTTCAATTGCCTTTGGCGTGAAGCTTTTGCGATTATGGGTAATCGACGTCTTAGATTTATTTCTAAAAATACCACTTTCTAAAAATTTTGATTGTTGCCATCCCTTTTTAAGGCAAAACAATCTTTCTTTAGATGCCCGCCTTTTCGGCAGTGAACACAAAAACGTACTTTACATTGGGTTGTATCATGCGCACACCCGCAAATAAGACATGTAGCACTAGGATAAGTTTGGGTTTTCGGTTGTTGGGCAGGGTATGGAATGTACGGTGGATGAAATGGCATCACTGGGCCTGGATGAAAAGGTTGTTGTTGGTAAAATGGTGGGTGTGGAAATTTGTGATTGTTGAATTTTTTCTTCTTCTTTTGTTGCGGTCTATAGGAATCATTTGTTTGCGAACGAGGTTGGATATTGTGATTAGCTTGTAAAGCAGAAATTTTGTTTATGATTTCATCCAGTTTGAGCTCAGCTGTTTCATTATGTGAGGGTTTATTAATGTTAGCAATGTTTAAATTTATATGACGCTGTTCGAACTTCTTTAAGGAGGATTCAAATTCATCCATCGTACTGTGTGGGAAGAGGGAAAATGTGGTTTTAATAGCCATGGGCATGCCTTTTAACAAATGAAAAATAACCTGAGCATCCGACATATTTGGATCGATTTTCCTACAGATGGTACGCACTTTAAAGGAGTATTCCTTTAGATCCTCCGCAGAATCAACTTTTAAATTTTCTAATTGGACTGTGAGTCGAGAAACTTTGGCTACGTCTTTGAATTGAGATTTAAATTTAGCGGTAAACTGTTCAAAGGTCAGGGCAGGGTAAGATGTTTTCAAAAATTCAAAATATTCAAGCGCTGCACCTTTTAAATATTTTTGAACGAAGAGAGGCACATATTCTTTTTTCCAGTTGTTGACTTGGACTGCCGCATCCAAAGACTCTAAAAATTTCTCCACAGTCACATTATTCCCGTCGAAAACTGTGGGTAAGATAATTGGAAAATGTTTAAAGTGTGATGGAGGCACATTATCACCTGGTGGGTCATTTTCCTTGTTGTTAGACATTACCGAAACTGTTTTCTTAAAAGTTAGTTTACGGACTACTTTGGATGGAATTACAAAGTCTGAAAGGGCGCTTGGGAGTTTTGTGGGACGCGTCGAGTGCCGTAAAGGGTCTTGGGAAGAACTAGGACCAAGTAACGTGTCAATTACAGTAATATCATCTTCCGCCTCTGAGTGGGACATTTACAAAATACGATGCTATGCAACCTGAAAAGAAGAGAAGAACATTTGGGGAACAAAGCATGAACTTAGAAAATGATTCACCTGGTTAAGGTTAGAAGTGGAGTTTAGCTGCCGTTTGAATGTCCATCAAGAGGTCGGGATTCGGATTTAAGCCACCAGTGAGAAGTCCATGACGAGGTTGGAAACTATTTAGCTGCCGTTGGAATGTCCATCACGAGGGGATGCGGATTTAGGCCACCAGTGAGAAGTCCATGACGAGGTTGGAAACTATTTAGCTGCCGTTGGAACGTCCATCACGAGGGGATGCGGATTTAGGCCACCAGTGAGAAGTCCATGACGAGGTTGGAAACTATCAAGCTGCCGTTGGAATGTCCATCACGAGGGGATGCGGATTTAGGCCACCAGTGAGAAGTCAATGACGATGTTGGAAACTCGATCTCAGGCTATTCAGTCCTCAAGGGTTCGCCGAGGTTTCGGCACCATGTTAAGGTTGGCGATTGGCCGGGTTGGGAGAGCAGAGAGAACCCAATTTGATTCGATGACACAAACTTTTATTCCATACTTCACAGAGCACACAGACCGAATAATCCGACGAAACGCACTCCATTCCTCACCAACTCGTTGCTCCCCCCTCCAGTGATCAGCCGAGCAATCCACTCCACTGATTGGCCAGGGGAACTTCTCAAGTGATGCTCCAAAGCAAACTCGAAATTTCCCCGGTCAACAGAGCAGCCGTGCCAACTGAACAAAGGAGAGGCAAGCAACGTCAGAGAGTCGCTATACTTGACACCACTGCAGTTTATCCGGCACCGTGAAGTGACGACGGCGGATCTTTTATTCCGAGGTTTCCTCCTATGAGGCCTCAATAACCTATCTTTGCGCTTTGCCTCGAGAGGAGAGATCTCGAGGGAGATTCGCCCCGTTACAGGTGGGACCCTCTCTCAAGTGGGGGGCCTGAGGGGCGCCGGCCTCACCGGGGCCGGGGTCGGGGACTGCCGTTCAAAGAGTGCCTTAGGGACATCCGATGGGAGGATAGAGCGCCCAATGGGCCACTTTTGCACGGGGTGTGGCCTAAAGGGGTCGTTTAGAGGGTACGGAAGTTCCGTACCCTCTAAACAGCGTGCTCCAACCCTACATAACCGGGTATTTCCATCTCATAGCGGTCGGATCGGTTAGGGGAAGCTTCGGCGGCTCTTCACCAGCTGATGGCCGTTGCCGTCCTCCGGGTGAGCCCCTTTCATGGGGGGCGTTTCGGCGACCCTCATGATGGGGGCACTGCAGCAAATTTTTTACCTCATCAAAAAAAAAAAAAATACAAAGATGGCGGCCGTGGCCGAAACTGCTATGTCGGCTCCTATTCAGTCGATTTTTGTGACACTCGGTACCCGGGAGTACTTCTCGACGGGAAACTCGAATTTTAGGTAGGATTTTCAAAATTTCAAAATCCAAGATGGCGGCCGTTGCTAAAGTAACAAAGATGTTATCTTCTTATTATTATTATTTTTAACTTAAAAGTTAATATGTATGAGGGGCGGCTCGCGAGTTGCAAGTTCATCGCGAAGCGAGGAACCGGGGGTCCAGGGGCACTCCCCGGCTAGGCGTGACAGCTCGCTACAGTGAGCTGAATACGGTCAGTTTATTCTATAGCCGGCTGTACTATTTCTTAAGTATAGCCTTTTATAGCCGATGGCGATGAAGCTACATGCCGGGCGATAAACTTTATAGCCTGGCGATAGGAACTACCTGTACCCCGGCTGTATCGGTAATTTTTTATAGCTTCGTATAACCCGGCTGTACGATTTTCTTCGCTTTCTACGGCCAGCCATCTATAAGATTTTCTACGGTACCTATATTTTAAAACGCAGCTCCTATTGCCAATTTTTGCCAGGGTCGTGCCATCTTTTTTGTAAATAGCGTAATGTGCTGCTCATGCTATCTTCAAAACTTCAATCCCCCCACTTCTCAGTCCCATCTTTTGCGATTCGGTTCCTCTCCGTTAAACTACCTATAGGTTTATATCCTTGAACAACGAGAGAGTAATGGCAGTGACATTCGAACGGGGAATATTCGGAGGACATAGCAGCGGAAACAAATGCAGAGGCCCGCGATATCATACTCTAACCCCTGGGCTTTTTAAAAGAAAGGGCCACTTCTTAAATCGTACATAATCTGTCCCCCTCAGAACATCTTCCCACAATGTTACTCTCGTGCGAGGAAAACCGCGGCGGCCGACAAGGCAGAGGGATGATCTAATTTAACGCTTGAAACTGCATCCGAGGAAGATAAGGGGAGGGAATAAGGGTGGGGCGAGACATTCGGGAGTGGAGAGGATTCAAGACTGGAAATGTATTTCTGTGAGCAAATATACACTCGTTTGGTGTATTGTGACCGGCTTCGGCTACCGCCCGAGTTATAAAATAATGTCAAGAACGATTCGAAAATAATAAAAATTCGGCAAAAGAGTATAGATCCTCGAAGCGCACGCAACAAGCGACGAACATCGCTGCCGAAGTGACTACTTATTTGAGGCAATGGAGATGTTGCAGGTTTGAGGAATTTGCGATTTGACTACTGATTCATCTGTAAAAATTCTCGAGAAACACTATGGTGCCTCTGGTTTTCTCTGAAATTAACTCCCAAGCTCAAAAAAAGCTCTCAAGTTGAGGCCAAAATGGAGGGGATATCCCACGCTATCCTGAGAGTCCACCAATACATCAAGACATACGTCAGTTGGGGTAACTTGGGACTGCGGTCTAACTTGGGATAGATTGTCCCATTTTCGTAATCGTGATATGGCAACCGTGCATTGTTTATATTTTGATTTCTGAGGCCTTAACCTCAAACACCCAAGCCAGCAGAGTCTGTAGAACGCGTGGTGCGAGAATTTGAAATGGCAAGTGATTTAAAATTTTCAAATTTGTCGGAATATCTATTTTGGAGGAATTTTATGCTGTACACAAAGTCTATTGTATTCAGATGCCGGTCATTCACCTGGAACTGGGGGACCTGATATCATCTCATCCAAGTGCACCTCTTGAAGGCCCAAGCTTTTCTTTTTGGAAATTTTTAAATGAATTTGAAATTTTTAGGAAAATTTAATCTTTCAGAGCTGTCAGCAAACTTGGGACAATTTCCCATCGAACATGGGACGCCCATGAATGTCTGTTTATTGTACTTTTGAAGCTTCATTCCTTCAACAATGCATATAACCTTTAAGTGCCATATAGTATTATTTATCGTTTATTCAAGTGATAACAAGTGAAATTTTTTCTTTCTTTTCTACTTGCGTTGAATCGCCTAGTCAAGTACCTACTTTCTCTCAATTTTTCATAAATGTTCTCATTTTTTACCTAAGTATTTATTTTTTAAGGTACGAATTTGCTACCTAGTCTTTGTCATAGGTACCTATTTTCTTTAAAAGTTCCATTTCCTACTTGTAAGTTTTTTTTCATTGTCGTGTGGTCCTTGACCAACGTTTCCTAGAAAACAATTTTCCTCGGTGCCTCATAGGTACCTACTATTTTCTTTAAAAGTTCCATTTCCTAGTTATAAGTCTTTTCCATTGTTGTAACTTGTAAGGTCCTTGACCAACGTTTCCTAGAAAACAATTTTCTTCAGTGCCTACTTAATGCTCGTTTTGTTCATGTTTATTTTTTTATTTTTATAAATGTTTTTATTAAAATGCACATTATTTCTTGAATTTTCTCTCTTTTTGTAACTTTTTTCATCTCAAATGGCTTTATATATTTTTTAAAACTTAAATTTTTGTCCCAAGTTACATGATAACTATTAAACATTTTTTTTTTTTTTTTTTTTTTTTTTTTTTTTTTTTTTTTTTTTTTTTTTAACTTTTATTTATAAACAAAACTACAACGTATTAATTGTTTTTACATGATGATGATCAAAATACATAGAGTACAATAGAGTCGCAAAGTACTGGAGCGCCGATGAAGCCAATCCATGAACAGGCGTTTCCGAGCCGCGTGTGCTCCGAAAATAGTGAACCATTTGTGAACCCAACGGCATTTTGTAACACGGCGGCTTATGGAGAAATCAAGAACTGCTTGTGTTTTTTAGGTATTTTATAATTCAATCAGCATTAATGTTTGCAAATTTCGCTATTTAAAGGTAGTCAAAGCCATAATGAATCCATTGATGTATATTACTCCTGGATAATATTCATATTGGGATTTAATTTCTGACTTATACCAAGTGTGAACCAACCGGCATTTCTTATCATGGCGGCTTACGGGAAAAGCAACGACTGCCCGTGTTTTTTCGACATTTTTTAATTTCATCGATATTAATTTGTGCAAATTTTGCTATAATTAGATAGTCAAAGTCATAATGAATCCATTGATGTATATTACTCCTGGATAAAATTCATATAGGAATTTAATTTCTGACTTATACCAAGTGTGAACCAACCGGCATTTTTTTACACGGTGGCTTATGGAGAAATCAACGACTGCTTGTGTTTTTTCGACTTTTTTTAATTCCATCGGTATTAATTTGTGAAAATTTTGCTTGAATAGATATTCAAAGCCTTAATGAATCCATTAATGTATGTTACTCCGAGATAATATTCATATATGGACTCAATTTCAGACTTATTACCGGCCTACTTATTTTAGCTGGTTCAGTGTGTGTCTAGCCGACGAACGGAGCCGAGGCGGGACTGTCGGGAGTGGGGAGCGCTGAGCGCGAGTCTCTGCGTATGCGTCATCGCTAGTCGCCGCACACTAGTCTCCGGAGAACTGGACAAAACAGCCTCGAAAAGTGACTTCATCGGCGATCCAGTACTTTGCGACTCTATTGTACTCTATGTCAAAATAAGAGTAAGATTGGCATATGAACTTATGAGTCCAATATTAAACTCTAGGTAATTGTAGGCTTGTAAATAGTATCTATTTACAAACATTAATATAGTTATTATATAATATAGTTAATGTGGTTAATATAGTTATAGTCTATCCTTAAAATTTTAGTCTTTGTTTATTTACATTGCCCGATTACTTAATTTTATTGCATGAGTCATTCAAGGAATGAAGTTCAAATTCCCATTAGATCAAAATCTAGTTTCATGGTCATTAAATTAATGACTTGGCTTGATTTTCAGCCGGGTGTTGCCGTAGTGTTCTACATATTACAATTAGATTTCAGAAAACTACGGAATAGTGTACAATATTTAGGATATCTAGACTTTGGTTGGAAAAATATGTATAAGAATGTAGAAGTAAGTGTAAAAAAGGTTAAACTAATGGGTGTCTTTTTCGGGTCTTAAAACAAATAGGTTAACATGAGTAACTTTTTTCATGCCAAATGGCTTTATATATTTTTTAAAACTTAAATTTTTGTCCCAAGTTACATGATAACTATTAAACATGAGCCAAACACTGAAAATACATTAGTGTCCCAAGTTACCCCAACTATTCAGGTAACTTGGGACACCAACATTTTTTAAAAAAAAAAAATAAAAAAAAAGTAAAAAAAGAAGATGGCGTAGGTTTAGAGTACTAACTAAGACCAACAAATGAGAGCCTTAACAATTTATTATTTGTTTTGTTTTAATGGAGAAATTTTAGTTCAAAGTTCAAAACTGTCCCAAGTTACCCCAACTGACGGTACTACCTACCCTCGATGCGAAGATAGGGAGCGAATACATTAGCAGGATTGCCGTGTTTTCAGTTGTGGAGTCCCCAAATAAAGTGGCAGCCCTGTCAGTCTAGGTATTTGTTCCTTATCTTTGCATGGAGAGTTTGTCTTGATGTAGAGGTGGACTCTCAGGATAGCGTGGGATATCTCCTCCATTTTGGCCTCAACTTGAGAGCTTTTTTTGAGCTTGGGAGTTGATTTCAGAGAAAATCAGTGGCACCGTCGTGTTCTCGCGAGCTTTTACACACGGAAAAAAAGTGGTCCGCTACATGAGCGGACCTGCTCGGTGAATTTGAAGTACGGGCTTGAGGAACGACTGTCTGAATAAGACCCAGGCGACTCCTGGTTGTCAACCCCATGCTCAGGTCGCCTGTGGAACCGTAGGCTCCGAGATATAAAGGCCCCCTTACTTCCGGAATGTTGTTGTTTTCGATTTTCGACAGTGGTGCTAGTTTCCGTAGTTTCTCGAATGGCTGCCGGAAGTCGGATTTCGTACTCGGATTTGGCATTTCATTTAACGCGTTTTTAGTAGTTTGAAGAAGTCTTTTTTTCTCAATGGTCGCATATCGTGTCAGGAAGTGTTCATGTGACATCGTGTTCAGTTCATCGTTTATTTGAGCAAATTCGGCAAGATTATCGAGCGGTTTTCGCGATGTTACATCAAACATGCACCTGTTTAGGTTCGGTCGGCATGACTCTCACGCGGTCAGTTGCTCAATTGAGATTATTTTCGTCGTACTTTGTGAGTGAATTTCGTGTTCTCTGAAATCTATCGTGACAACGGAAGTAGTGCTGAAATGGATTAGCAACAGTTTGTTAGCCTCCAGAACTTGTGACAAAAAGTGCTGTAGGAAGTGTTTGTGATCACCTAAAATGGGTCGTGCTTGCAGTGTCCCTGGTTGTAAGACTGGGTACAGGTCTTGTAAGGAAAAGTTTTCCACATTTTCTTTTCCTGAAAATGAGCAACTGAAGTGTAAGTGGATAAATGCCATTCATCGGCCACGAGACTTTGAAGTTACCAAGAACACATGTGTTTGCATTTTGCACTTTAAAGAGTCACAAATCATTCGAACTGTGAAGAAGAAAAATGCACGGATTGAAGATATTGTAGAACTCGAGCGGCCAAGATTAACTGATGATGCTGTTCCCTCCGTTTTCCCGAATCAGCCGAGCTACTTCACTACTGACCCACCAACCAAAAGGAAACCTCCAGAGGATAGACGCCAGTCGTTGGTTGCCAGGGAAGAAGCAGAATTTAACGATTGGTGTGCTACGGATGAAATTAAAGACTTTTCAGATTTCCTTAGTAAGTTTCAGAGCAAAATTGCACCCTCAACATTTGATCACAAGATCTACAACGATTTTATTTTGCTTTTTAAAGTTAATACCAGTTTGAACAATGTCCCGGAAATAATGTGCAGCGTCAAAATTTTTTGTAATCTGAAAGTGCAAGTATATTTCAGAAACAATTGCCTTCCCTCTTCAAGATTTAAAGGTTTCCTTAGCAAAAGTAATGAGCTGAAGTATTGGACTGCATTTGGAAGCCTCATGAGTCATGTGAATGCAATTTCCCCCACAGACATTAGCAGTTTTGCAAATGACATCCAAGCTTTGTTTGAGCAAATGGAACTAATTTTAAAACTCTGGACTCCATCGGCAGAGAACCCCTCGGTTGTAACTGAGTCATCAAAACTTACCAAGTTAAATTTTTTACTAGAGCAGATGAAACTGTTAACATTTATTTGTCCAAGGTACTCATCAAACCTCTTGCTTTGGGCAAGCTCAATTTGTTTGTCGTTCCCAAGTGCTTATTTATCGATAAGAAATGATGGTATTATAACACTTCCGCATCCATTACATATCAAAAGATTGACAGGATCTCTGAAATCAGAGGTAGGCCTCAGTAATGAGCAAGTCAAATATCAAAGGTCAAGGTCTCTTGGTCTCTGCCAAGTTCGAGAGCCTAGAGAATGACAGGGATGCAATAGTCAATTTACTGCTCGATGAAATCCATACAGACTCTAAGGTTGAGTGCAAAGGAGGGAAAGTCATTGGTACAACAGAAAATGGATTAGGCGCCAACAAAATTCAAGCTTTTATGATCACTTCACTCACCAGCAAGAACGAAGATATAGTGGCTCTGTTTCCTGTTAACACTACTACAGCGGAGAAGCTACATGAAATGACTTTAGTAGGGTGAAAATGGCGACTTTAGCCCAGTAAATTATCCAACAGCGTTGCACGAT